CTACAGATCAACATTTGTTTCCATGTGTCAATATTCTCACCAACTAAAAGCAGTAAAACAGGAAGTCAACAACATTTATTAGTTGGTCACGTTCAACCTGGATTATCAAAATTTCCTAATTATAAATCTCACAGGAAAATAACACTTGTTCTGCTGATTTCAGCAAAGTCTGCTGGGGATTATGTGWTTGGAAACACTTTAATATACGCCTGGAGAGAAATCCCAGAATTCACYAAGAAATGATAAATTGTATCCCAGCCTCTGCTGCCCTCCAGCTCTGTCTTGGAAGCGTTGCCTGACAAACTCACCACACACTCCAGTTGTCCAAAYTGAGAACCAAACAGTGGGGTTCAGATCTTGGTGTTTTGTAATGCTTTAAAGCATGCTGGTCTTGAGAATTTCTGTCACAGCCCTACAATATAACCACAAGTGTCACAAAATCCACTTGACTGTCAATGAAACATACATAAAGTCAGAGTACAAACAAAGTATTAAAATGAAAACTGTTCAATTATGTTCAATTAGTTAAGATCAGCAGATGGCTATCTATTTCTGCAGATAGATAATTTACTGGGTGCAGAATAAAGCTGCTCTGGGACTGAACATTTAATTAAAAAAATTCCAGTTTGAACACCCAAAAGAACGAAACAGAACAAAAAACCTCTTCAGCATGCAGAGCTCCAAGTTTAATGAACTAATGTGAGCATTAAGATCTTCTTGTAAAAAAACCCACAGATTAGAAGCTTTTTATTTTCTCAGCAAAATAATTCAAACTTTCTAGGAAAACAAGTCCTCAAGATGGTGTTCTAGCCTTAAGCCTGCTAAATGCCTTTGGGCCATCTTTCAAGTATTTCATTTGACATTCAGAGCAGATATTTTTTAATCCCACTGCAGCATATAAAGTCATCTAGGTCGCACCACCTTTACAACAAAAAAAGAAGGATATAAGAGTTTAATTAAAAACTCTCTTGTTCCACTATATTATAAGACACAGAAAGGTATTAAGACAAATTAAAAACAAAAGAGATACCCTATGGCCACATTTTAGGCATAACCATATCGAAGTGCCTTCATCAGTCTCCTCCTGCTCAGCCTTCTCTTGTGTCTTACTGTCTGCCTTGCAGTCCTGACAAACATGCCATTCCACATTCTGCAGTGCCTTTCTCAGATGCCCTTGGTCCAGTCCTTTACGAATATGCTTGCACACAGGTTCTACAAAATAAAAAGCACAGGAAGGATGTAGGTAATACAAGCATAACGTATGTAAGAATTAAAGACACAGGCAGCAATCCAGAAGCAAGGATAGTCTTTCAAGAGCCAAAGAAACACTGACAATTTATCTGAGTACAAGAAAGAAACCTTTTGTTACCACCATTCACAATMTGGGTATACTGCTGCTGCATCCTAAACTTTACTTTGAGTTGTTTTTATTGCTCAGATAGTGTGATAGTGTAATCTTTGCTGAAGCAAGATTACAGCCTCAAAATAGAAAACTTCCCTTGGTATAAATTGAAACTCGTGCAAATTTTTGTAACCTACAGTTCTGTTCCTGTCCAAGATTACAGGATTTTATCAGAGTGCAAATGCTAGCCCARCAAAAGATAAACAGATAGAAGCATTCTTTTAGCYTTCCTAAAAATCACAAGCTTCATCTACAATCTCCAAATTGTCTTTCAAAACACAAATCAAAGAATTTTCTATATTGGCAACTACTGTTACAGTGGAATTATTCACCATGATCAGTCTTAGTTTCATTGGTGACTTTACAGGACTTTGTAATGGTAAAATAACCTATTATAGGCAAAGAAGTGAGATGCCACCAGCAGTTAGAACATAACTGATCTCTTAGCTGGAGAAAAAGAGGAACAGTTACAGCAGACATTGACCCTGACTCTTGGAAACAAAAAAGTCCTCAACACCCCCAAGAACCAAATCAGACAAGAACAGCTAAAAAAGGCATCCATTAGAGACAGAAGATAACAGAAGGAGACCAGGACAATCAAAAAACAAAGTAGAGCAGACCTAAATTTAAACAGGTCATCCYAGCAAGCCTCCTCAAACTGTAAGTAAGTGCTCTCTCTCCCAACTAAATTAGCCTGGCTCAACTCACTTCCCCAGCTGGGGTCAACAAAAAAGATGAGAAAGACACAATCTGTGACCTGGCAGATAAGGTGGTAAAAGAGAATGCTACAYAACACAAGTAAAAACAAAAGTTACAATAACCAGGGTACACAGAAAAAAACCCCAAACAAATTAAAAATTTCAGCACAGGCAAGATCCAGTGGAGCTAGGAGAACAAAATTTACTATTTGGAATTAGGAACTATTAAGAACAGAAGAATAGAAAGAAGAGGTTTTAACCAAAATACACTATGAGAGCTGAAGTGTCCAGGGTCACTACCAAATTAGCTGCTAGAATAAAGGCAAATGGTTTCACAGAAAGTATTTTAATCACTGCTTTAAATGCTAATGCAAGAAACTTCTGCAACAAAATTTTCACTGGGAAAATGCAATTTAAGTTGAGCAGCTGACTCTACAGATTCTGAGGAATTTTATACAATCTGTATGACTAAAGAACTCTGTGTCTGAGTTCCCAGAAAACAATCTCAGTTTTCAAGACAGGACTATTATTTTCTAGCATACTTAGAAAAGTAACAATACCAATATTTCTTGCTAGACTTGAGTTTCAATTAAAAAAAAATCYAGATTTTGTAGATGAGACTTCAAAGCCAGTGACTAGTATGAAGGCCTTCTAATTTTAATCAGCTTTTAAGCCTTCTTTGARGTTAAAAGAAACATTAAGTCCACATATTTCTCCAAGCAAACATACTCAGTATATCCGGAGACTCATCAGACTGTGCAGATTTGCATTTGATCCGTTTCTTTCCCATATTTGTAGTCTGTAATTGTTCCTAAAAGGAACAGTGACCTAGCAAAGAAAAACAGTAAAATTAGAAACAGTCTTTGTATAACTTGTTCATTGCTACATAAGTTATTGCTACATAAGTTATTTCTACAGCCAAGTCGTCCCTTGARGTGAATTACTTGTTTTAATTTGMCATTGTCAAAACAAAAAAATAGTAATTACATGTTAACATGAAACAATTGCAGCTGTTGCATAGACAAGATCACAGTACCAATTACCAAACCAAGTGATTTAAAATCTTAAATCAAAAGCACTCACRAAATAACAAGATTGGAAATGTTAGTATCAAAAATTCCACAAACTAACACCACAGGGATTTTATGAGATGGAAATGGTTTTGTCCCAATTAAATATTGAAACTATTTGCATTTGCAACCTTTCTGTTTTGTTTATCACAAATTCCCTGTGTTTTTGATGAAGTTGGACGGACGTAAAATACTCTTTAACATATTTGAAAATATACAGCCAACAGGAGTTATGGTTTTTCAACTTTTTTACTGGGGAAGATTTATCATCTTCTTCCCCACATATCAAGCAAATAATTCAGATGKGTCTATTATTTGCTATACCTGTGGACCCTTCTCAACAAAGTGATCTATCACCAGAGTCCTAAGCCTAGGACTTGGCTTGGCTTGGCTTCAGACAGGTGGTTACCGCACCTGATAGAACATTTTTAGTTTCTACTCTTTGGCCCCTGCACCTTACCTGACAAAAGATCATCCAAAAGCTYGGGTAAACTTGTAACTCAACATATGTTAGACAATGAAAATAAGGAAGCTAAAAGRGTCCAAAATCAAGTCGTTGCAATCTTTGCAGGCTGGCTTGACCCTGCTATCCACCCTTCATGTACACACAGCCAGCACTAAACCCAACCTGTATCAATCTACCCTTCRAAACCCATTCCTTTGCTTGTACTTGCAGCACACCAGCCCCAGAGCACAACTGCCTGCACAGAGCTGGCACAGCCAAAARACTAGGCCAGACCTAGAGAATCAGAAAGAAAAATTAAGCGGGGGAGAGCTTAGGCATGATACTCACACAGGTTGCTTTGTATGAAAAGCCATTCACAAACAAGAGCATGCTTGCACAAGCAAACTCTAAATGCAGATGACCCAGCTGTTGATGGCTAGCTGGCAGCCACTTCATCGATAGCAGAATTATCAACTTTTGCAACTTAGCATTCAATTTGTCCAGAAAAAGAAACAWTAGTTCATCCAACAACCTTCCTCTATAGCACATTTTTCTGCAAAAACTTACAATACTTAATCTTGTATGGACAGCTTTTAGTTGTTAAAATCCTTTCCTAATTGTCTTTGCTCCTGCCGGGAAGGCAGGGCAGCATCAACTCGTGGAACTATTAATTAAAGCCACGCTGTGCCTGGGCAGACTTGTCTGACAGGCTCCTGCATCAGCCTTTCCACGACACAGCCGTCAGCAGGAAACGCACAGCCTAAAGGACTGAAGCAGTTCATACTCAAGATAAGATGGAGCGGTCTGTAAACGACCAAACGTGCACCTGCGTTTGACGGACACCCTGGACAAACGCCCKGAGCGGCTGTGCTGGGGAAGCCCCGGGCGCGGCGGGCAGCAGGCCGGACCCTGTGGCCCTTTCGGTGCCATGAGGGGGAGCGGAGCCCCGAGCAGGATCCGGCCCGGCCCGCGGCTGCACCGCCCCCTGCCCCGGCCCCGCCCGCTTCCCATTGGCCCGCGCCATGACTGACAGGTGGCCCAGCCAATCGGGAAAGCCGCGGGTTCCGGCCTGAGCGGCGGCTRCAGCGCGCCGGCGGCGCGAACCCCGGGCTGGGAGGAGAGCGGCCGCGTCGGTAGGAAAGCGGCGGCGGCCCCGGGGACWCCCGTTCCTCACCTGCCAGCGCGGCGGGGCGAACAACTTGGTGACGCATGACTCCACCAGGCGGGGCAGGCGGTAACCTCTCACCTCAATCACCGGTGGCGGTGTGGCGGTCACCGGCTGCCATGAGCGCTTCCGGCGCGCTGCATTGTGGGGCTGTGACGGGGTGGGGAGGGGGCCGGGTACGCGCATGCGCGGGCACTGCATCGCTTCGCTTCCCCTCCCCTCTGGTCTGAGGGGTGCCAGTGGATGTTGGGGATGGGAGTGCGGTGTTTGAGGGGTGGGAGAGACTCCCCAGCGCTCACGACAGCTGGGAGCGGCTGCCAGACCAGCCCTGTATGGAAGATGTTGTTTTGGTGACACACCAGCACGACCTGTGTCACCTCAGGATCCTGGAAACCGCGTGGGCTATGTGCGTGACCCAGAGTGCCAGAGAGACACGACCCTGTTATGATCTGCATGCTCATAACTTGATATACCTTAAATCTACAACTTCCTCGTAAGGGGAAGTGGAGGGGCAGACAGTCTCTGGCGACCAGTGATAGGACCCAAGGGCRGGACATGAAGCTCTGTCAGGTGAAGTTTAGGTTGGATTTTAGAAAAAAAGGTTCTTCTCCCAGAGRGTGKTTGGGCACTGGAACAGGCTCCCCGGGGAAGTGGTCACAGCACCGGCCTGACAGAGCTCAAGCGTTTGAACGGAGCTCTCAGGCACAGGGCGTGACTCTTGAAGTGTTCTGTTCAGGGCCAGGCGTTGGACTCSATGATCCTTGTTSGTCTGTTCCAACTCAGCATATTCCGTGATTCTGTAACATGATATGCATAGGAGTAGTAAATGAACTTTGTCCCGTATTCAAGCCATGATTKTCTTTCCTGATTTTTTCTTTCCTCAGGGAACGACAGAAATGGCCAACCGAGAGCAAGCAGAGATACAAATTTCAGAGTTAGATTTACTGTCCAGCATGTTTCCTTATGAGGAAGAGTTTGCTGTGACAGACCAACTAGCTCTAGCTGAACTGAAACACTATGTTGAAAATGAGTCTGCAGAGGTGCCATCTTCAAAAGTTCAGTTTATGCTGAATGTAAAGGCAGAGGTGCCTAATGCCTCTATGGTACTGTAAACACCTTTCAAAAAAATTATTTTATTACTTTGTGGGATTTTAGGGCTTGCTTGAAATAAACATTTGTTGATTTGTTTTTAGGTGGAATTCTCTATGGCCTGTGCTTTACCRTTCAAATATCCAACTGTTCCCCCAGAAATTACTGTGAGGTATGACTGCTAATAAAAACATTTATAAGTTAGTGTGTTGTACAAATACAGTTATGATAAGAGAAAGCAGTCTTTTTTTTTTTTTGTGATTTACTGCCAGATTAAACTGGAAGGATGACAGTGTTGGAGAAAAAAAATAAATATACAAGCTTATGATTTCTCTGGTATGCTCAGCAAATAAGTAAGGAAAAGGGAAAAATTGTGAAAAAGCCATCACCTTTACAGAAGGGTTACATGTACATACTGTAAATAGGGCTGATGTTCAAGAAGAGAAACTTGTCTGTTTTGGTAAAGCTTAACACTAACTAAAGGGGTGAAAAAATAGTCAAAGGTCTTACTCTTCCAGCCTCCTGGTATTTTTTAYTTCTGTTTAAAGAAGTAGACTTTCATGTTAGTTCAGCCACCATCCTTACTTTTCAAGTACCTTTTAGGTGATTTTGATTTACAGATTGATAGTGCTRTTTGTGAATTCAAGAGTTAGCACACCAGTTAAATACTAATTAAGATGTTTTCATAGTTAATACGGTTTAAATATCAATAGCAAGTGCATATATCTAACTATGCCTGATTTTCTTGGCAGCTTGAAGCAAAACTTTTGAAAAGTTATGATGCGGGGAAAAGGTCTGGAGCACAAGTTCTATAAAGAGCAGCTGAGGGAGCTGGGTTTGTTTAGCCTGGAGAAAAGGAGGCTCAGGGGAGACCTTATCACTCTCCAGAACTGGCTGAAAGGGGGTTTTAGCCAGATGAGGATCTGCTTCTTCCAGGGAAGCAATGACAGGATGAGAGGAAGTGGCCTCAAAATTTCTTCATGGAATGGGTGGTCGGGCATGGGAAGGAGCTCCCCAGGGAGGTGGTGGAATCCCCTCCCTGGGTGCTCTGCTTTGGCTGACAAGGTGACCATCGGACAAAGGTTGGACTTGATTTTGGGGGTCTGTTCCAACCCTAAGGATTCCATTATTCTATGTTTCTAAAAACAYGCTGAATTGTAAGCATGTCTGTATTTATATACATTTATATTTTTCTTTAGGTCGTCATTATTAAGCCGCTCTCAGCAGATTCTTCTGAACTCTGATCTAAAAGCATATCTGGTGCAAAACTGCAATGGCGAGCCCTGCATGCTGAGTGCAAGGGAATGGGTTAAAGACCACGCAGCTGCTTACATTGACAAAGAGCTTTCATCTTCCTCAATGACAGCTTCAGATGCCACACAGTCAGAAGAAGTCACCATGTTCACTCGATTGTGGATCTACAGTCATCACATTTACAACAAGCAAAAAAGAAAGAATATTGTTGATTGGGCCAAAGAGCTCTCTCTGTCAGGGTTTTGCATGCCAGGGAAACCAGGTATTGTTTGCGTAGAAGGTTTACAAAGTAGCTGTGAAGAGTTCTGGTCAAGGTTAGTTTTTCTTTGTACTTAAATGCCATTAGTAGTTAGAATATTGCATTTTGTCATGTTGTACATGTGGCCAGAAGGTGGGAAATCTAGCCACTTGCCAGCCTGTGAAGATCTGCAAAGTATTTGTGTTTATAATTCATTTACTCTAAATATCCATTGTACTGATGATTGCAACAGTCAAGGCAACTAGTACTGTATGGTGCACATTTATTTCTGTTTCCTTTTCCTCTGAGTTTCACTTCTATAGAGATGGACTGCAGTTGTGTTAGATATGTGTGCTGTTACATCGTATTTTAGTCTGCTCCCATCATTTATCCTTCTGGGTGGTGCAGGCTAAATGAGCATTGTAATTTGATGGTATCAGCTAAAACTGAGAATTCTTAGCACAGAGGAGGCAAAAGTAAGCACTGAAATAGAAACCACATCTTCATTAATTATTATATGAGGAATATCATTAAAGTTCTTAATTCCTGAGGAGATATAAAAACCCCAAGCTCCTGCCTATGAGAGTGTTTGCATGGTGATATTTCTATTACCAGCATGTGAACCATTATCTCTGTCAATATATTTATGCAAATGAAATTTACTGACATTTGTGATCATAGATATTCCATAGTACTTCCTAAAATAGTCTTTATTTTATAGRTAGATTAATATTTCTCCAATTACTTTTAGGATAAGAAGATTAACATGGAAAAGAATTCTTATTCGGTACAGAGAAGATGTTTCTTTGGAAGGTGGAGGGCATGCTGAGATCCAGAGCAAACGGAAGTTCCCCACTTTGGAAGAAAAATAYTTTGATGCACATGGTGCCAGAGGAAATCATATGGATTTGGGGCAACTRTATCGTTTTTTAGAAGAAAAAGGATGTTCTGACATATTTCAAATGTACTTTGGGGTTGAAGGGCATTGAAGGGGTTGAAGATCCACACAGGCCTCAGCACTTATGTTTGTAATTTAATCTTCATAACAAAGTCTTGGCTTTTCTGCAACAGCTGATCAGGGACAGAATGAATAATTCATGACTTACGTGATGAATCCAGTTTTCAATGAAAACTAATATCCAGTGAAATCATGAATAATGAAAATGACTGTATGGATGCTTWATACATTTTCTGGTTTTAAGGTGATTTAGGGTATATATCTATTTACAGTGAAAGAAAATGTGTTTGTTAACCTACAGGACAGTTACAGAACTATAGATGAATGAACAGACAGAATATGGTGAATGAGAATAAGAAAAGACAGAAATACAGTGTGGGTATCTCAGGAGCGAGAACATGATGTTTACATTAATTGTTACTGTTTACATACACTCCATGAGGAYGTTTTTTTAATGATCTTCTAGTTTCTACCTAAAAGTTTAGTAAGCCATGAAATCAATATTTTATTTAAAAATGAGCAAAGGGAGGGAGCAAGTTTACAAGAATCTTGCTCATGCTGCCAGTATGAGGTAGGATGCCTGCTCCAAGGCATAAGAATTTTCTGTAGGTAAAAGTGTGTGTGTGGGTAAGAGGGATACCATGCTGGCTGCATTACATCTGTTACTTTGGTTTGTGTAATGCAGCAGTTTACTAAGGATTGGGCTCCCTTACAGCACAGTCCAAAATTGTGACATGATYCTCAGCCTTCTGAATTYGCAAGTTTTSAGTCCTGTAATAWGAAGTGYATTATACTGCRTGTGTTTTTGAGTCYGGTTTTAACAAGTTCTATCAATGAATGGTRATTTTGTGGGTACTGTATCTAAGTTCCATGGTAGAAAAAGCAGACATTATTTTCTTTGGGTTAAATATTTTTATTAAATATTGATTAAATGTTTCTGTACTCGTTCTGTACTCATCATAGTAAAATCACTAACATTCAGATCTCTGGTATGGACTTGGAACACCGTTTGTAAGCAATACTTCACAGCCATATCATTGTACAAGTGTGGGTAAAAAAAAAGCCAAAGTCTTCGTAAGTGTAGAAGAACGCCGAGGCGCCACGGGACGCTCCAAGTTCGAGTTGGATGGATTTTGCATTTTTTCTGTGGAGGGTGTTGCTGAGTCTCAGGTTCCTCCCAGCGGGTTCCCTCCCGCGCCTGCGCCCCCTGGTGGCGCCCCGCGGGCCCCGCCCCGGAAGTGTCGCGCTGCCCGCGGTGGCTCCGGCCGGGCCCGGGTGCCGCCGCCGCCGTCATGGGGGGCAAGAACAAGCAGCGAACCAAGGGCAATCTGCGGGTGAGGAGGGGAGCGGGGCCGGGCCCAGGCCTCGGGGGCTCGCGGTGCCGGCACCTCCGTGTGCCCTGGGCGGGGAGCCCGACTGCCGCGGCGGGCAGCGCGATCTTGGGGCTCGGTTGCGGTAGCTGGGGCCGGGCCCGGGCCAAAGATGTGGTCCGGGCCGTGCATTAGGGGAGTGTGACTGCTGCTGCCGTGGTGTTTGTATGGAGAGGGCAGCACGGGAAGACGTAACTGCAAAATCACCTCGGGTGGTGTAGGTTCAGCAAGGTACCGGTGGTACATTTCGGTGTTTTTTTCTGTGCAGAGTCTTAGAATACACTTGTTACAGCACCAGTGGTGATGTGACATCTGTCCTATCACTCAGGATGTAGGACAACTCTCGTGTTCAGCTTCCCTAATTCCTCTCTGGATTTAGAGAAGACGAGGGAATACAAACCAGTATGTCCTTAATAGTTGAGRGTTCACATGCAGAAAAGGTGATTTAAGCCCCACAAGCTCAGAAAACTGCTGCTGTCATTAGGAAATAAAAGGTATTTGGATTATGAGGTGTCCCGGAGGACATGAAAGCGTCAGTCAGTTGTGGTGCAGTCTTTCCAAGAGTGTGGTTGAAACAAACTTGGAGCCAATGATACAGTGAGAACCTGGGGTAAACTAGTAGAGACGCTGAGCTCTGGAGCACACACTGTAGTACTAACAGGATGGTATTTATTATACTGTATTACATATGCATGCTTTTGCTCCATTCTTCTAAATTATTTTTGGCTGCTTTGTTGATGGGAGAATCCTTTCTTTTGTCTAGGTGTTTTTATTGGCCTATGATTAGAGCTAGGAAGACCAGAAGTAGTGAAGGAAGATAGTTTCTTAATAATTGTTTGCTTATAGACGGACTTTTCTGTTAGGCTTTTTGTATCGCAAAAAAGAAATAAAAGCAATAAAAATTTCCCGTAAGTATTCATGTGTTGTGAGAAAAGAGAATGCTGATTCACAGAATCATAGAACACAATCACATGAAAGGTTTGGGTTGGAAGAGACCTTAAAGATCATCCAGTCCCACYCCMTGCCATAGRCAGGGACACCTTCCACTAGACCAGGTTGCTCCAAATCCCATCCAACCTGCCCTTGAACACTTCCAGRAATGGTCCAGCTTCTCTGGACAACCTGTACCAGGGCCTCACCACCCTTACAGGCAAGAATTTCRTATCTAATAAATCATTCCCCCATGTCCTATCAATACATTTCCTGATAAAGAGTTCCTCTCTCCAGCTTCCTTGTCGGCTCCTCTCAGATACTTGAAGGATGTTATGAGGGTTCCCCAGAGCCTTTTTTTTTTCCAGGCTGAACAGGCCAAACTTTCTTAGCCTGATCCTAAGGGGAAGAATAATTTTCTAGGTCAAACATCTATGTTTAAAGACAGGTGGACTCTTCCTTGTGAGACTTTCTTTTAATTAGAAGGTTAATTATACAATATAAATAGCATCATCATTTCAAGTGCATGATGTGTGCAAAATAAAATCAAATMTATAATTGACTGTTCCTGTTTTTTGTCAGCCTTCTAGCAGTGGCCGAGCTGCAGAGCTCCTTGCCAAAGAACGTGGAACGGTGCCTGGGTTTATTGGCTTTGGAACATCTCAGAGCGATCTAGGATATGTTCCGGCAATTCAAGGAGCAGAGGAAATAGACAGCCTTGTGGATGCTGATTTCCGAATGGTGTTGAGAAAACTTTCTAAAAGAGATATTACAACCAAGTTAAAAGTAGGTGTATCCTTTGTCCTCCATCTATTTCTTTTTTGTTGGAAAATAATACATTTTTGTTAAGGATAGAAGAGGAAGATGTGAAGGTAACTAACAATATTTTCTTTTTGGTAGATTTGCTAGAACTGCAATCCAGAAGATATCTTGGAAAACCTGTAGCAGGGTCCATCATGCATTATCTCTGTAGATGCTCAATTGCAAGAAATAAATTGTTTTTTGGAAAAGGGAGTTGCAGTTTCAGATACAAACTGGTAAATTACAGCACATACCTACCTGACTGCTTAAGTCATGCTCTTGATATTTTGAATTTTAGGCTATGCAAGAGTTTGGAGCAATGTGCAAGGAAAGAGAAGCAGAAGTTGTTAAAGGTGTTCTTCCTTACTGGCCGAGAATTTACTGTAAAATTTCACTAGTAAGTATTGAARTATTTAAATTAAAATCTTTTCTGTGTACTTCCTGTGTCTACCTCTAAGGTGGTATTTGTTGACATATCTACCTTTCTTGGAATTACTGACTTGTTCTAGGAAAAACATCGAGTTGAAGGAAAGAACTGTTTTTGGTGTAGATATTTCAGTATTGGCAGTGGATAGAGTCTTGAATTGTGAATGYYTGCGCTGTATGTGCTTRATATCTGTTAGACCTTTATGTTTAAAGSATGGTAATGAATTTCTTAGGATTTTATGTGGATTCCAGAAGGGCTAGAGAGACTGTTTAGTTAATATAATTATAGACCTTTTTGATATGACCCAACTTAACACTAAAAAAAAAMMCCAAACCCAAATGTGAAAAGATCRCRTGTAGCCAGACTAGCAATAAGTTTTTGATATATTTAYTGTATTTCCAAACTCTCTGGAATGGCTGCTCTTGGAAACATGATATGAGACAAACATTACTTTTACGCATTAGAGCAATTCCTAATGTTTCTTTCTGGAGTCAAGAGTGTASAAAGTCATGATGTTGTAAATTCATATGCAAATAAAGGATAATGATGCACAGCTTTATGGTAGTCCTAATTCAAAAGATGTCTTCAAGGTTTCCTGTTTCTYCTGGCTGTTGTCTGTCTGTTAAATGTTTGTATAAATTGGAAACAAAAACTGTAGTTAGGGGTATTGGGAAAAGGTTACAATTCTGAATGTRCAACAGTTTGGGAACATGATGCTACTAACTTAAGACTCTCCYGTACCTTGGGATGCCAAAACATTTTTGTTGTTGGTGTGTATTTTCAAATCTGTGTAGTCCAATTAATTGCAAATATGGCTTTTTAATCACCACTTTTGCTTTGCAGTACCTGACATCAAAGGTACATTTCTTAAACTAGTAAACCTTTCTCTTTTTTGTCTTCCTTTTTTATTTAACAGGATCATGATCGCCGTGTTCGAGAAGCAACTCAGCAATCTTTTGAGCAACTGATTCTTAAAGTAAAAAAACACTTAGCTCCTTACTTAAAAAGTATCATGGGTTACTGGCTGATTGCTCAGTGTGACACTTACTTGCCTGCTGCTTCTGCTGCAAAAGTAGCTTTTGAAAAAGCTTTTCCTTCGAGCAAACAACCTGAAGCCTTAGTATTCTGCAAGGATGAAATTCTTAATGTAAGTTTATACTTCTGTATTTCTTTAATATATCTTAGTGTTTATCAACTTTTATTTTAAGTTGTTTGAAATTCTGTTATAAGTTTGAAACTCATCCTGTCCCATCTATTCTTTATGGTTAAATTTCTTTCTCACCTGAAGCTTTGCTCCTGTGAAAAGAATCATAGAATGGTTTGTGTTGAAAAGAACCTTAAAGATCATCCAGTYCCACCTCATGCCTTGGGCAGGGACACCTTCCACTAGACCAGTTTGCTCCAAGCTCCATGCAACCTGGCCTTGAACACTTCCAGGAATGGGGCAGCCACAGCTTCTCTGGGCAACCTGTGCCCAGGCCTCACCGCCCTCACTGGGAAGAATTTCTTCTGTAAGGAAATATAAAACAGAAGAATGATAAATAATGCAGAGAAAAAACCACATCCTCTGTTTTTTTGCACTTCAGATGAGAATGATTACAGCCAGAGGAATGAATGGTGAATTTCCTTGTGTGCATTCCTATGTAATGATGCTCAGTCAACACATAATGTTGCTGACAGAGGGAGTAATGATGCTGGAGTAGTTTAGCTGCAGTAGCAAAGGAATAAAGAATGCTGAGCAGTGTTTCAGCATTTACAAGCTTAGTTCTGACCAAGCTTAACGCTCTTCTGCCAGTCAGATATGATACTGAATTGATTGAATTAAAAAAGGTAAAAGATTGCATTGCTGGCCCATCATACGTAAACCAAACTATTTTGGTTTGCCTCAGTTTAACTTCTTTTTAACAGAAACACATTGGTATGGGGCTGCAACTTACTGTTATGAAGACTTAATTCRAACAGTATCACAGCTACTGTGTTCAACATGAGTCAAAATAATTTTTTGTTTGTTAGCTTGTCTAAATATGTTAGACAACTCAGAGATTATGAAATTTTATTGTAGCTCTATTTCTGAATAATGTGTGTACTATATTGTTCACATATAAATATTAAATTTCTTTGTGTTTATATGTGTTGTTTTTTCTCCCATAGGTACTTCAAGATCACCTTCTGAAAGAAACAGCKGATACACTCAGTGACCCTCAGTATGTTTTCCTACTTTAATGTGTATTTAAGTCTCTAAGTCTTGGTCKGTATTGGGTTCTCGGTTTTGGCGGTAGTGGATTTAAGTTTTGTTTCAAAAGACAGTTTATTTGGGTCCAGATCCCAGCAACTTTGTTTGTGACTTAAGTATAAATGATTTTGAAAGTGTTACCAGTTACCTAATTCTTCTTTCAGCTCTTTTAAGAACAGCACTTGTGAGTAGCTGGAATATGAGATGACTTGAGACTCTTCTAACACTTTATAATGTAATTTAGAGCCTGAGGAAAGTTTATGTATTTACATGGCTGGCACCTGAAATCAAAAGAAGAACATGAAAAAAATGAAGAGAGTTTAATTTAGAAAAACTTGGGATGCCTACTGGTTATTTGTAGTTCACTTTAACTTTTTTGTTTGTTTTGCTTTCTGAGAACTGTACCAGAAGAAGAAAGGGAAGCCAAATTTTTCCGGATTCTGACCTGTTCCTTGTTAGCTTTGAGAAAGTTGCTCAGCTTGTTGCCTAAGAAAGAGCTGCATTCATTGGAGGAAAAGTTAAAGTCACTTCTGTCCCAAAACAAATTTTGGAAATACAGCAAACATAACGTACCACAGGTGACTTTTTAATTGCTTCTTTATTTTGGTTGGTTTTCTTAAAGGAAATACCCTTAACCTAAGGAAGTATAAGTTACTTGTAGTCTACAAGAATGAACTTCGGACTTCACTTATGTTTAAACAGCCTTTGAGTTTCTAGGTAGATTCCAGAAAGGCTAAAGACATTGTTCAGTTAGCATAACTATGAATCTTTTTGATCTAGGACTTATATATGACCAGACTTAACATTAAGAAAAAAGCTCCAGGTCCAATGTAGACAATATTGCTTGAAAATTTGTCCAATAGGCTAAATTTTTATTTCCACATCATTATGATCTACTTGGCAATCTGCTGTTATTTAAAATTAATGTAAAAGATACAGATTGTCAACTTACAGCATGTGTTCTTAGTGCTTTGGGATTCTAATTTTACAAAAAATTTTACTGGTCTTTAGTCTGCCAAGACCAGCAGTGCATAGAGTGATGAATTCATGTAATAGTATTTTGTCAAAAAGTTTGATGTTGCTTTTGGGAAAAAATGTCTTTTGAGAAGACTTTATTTTTAATAAAATAAGTATTTTATCACTAAACAAATTATGTTAAAATATTCAATAACACTTTGTAATAACTGCTTTATTTTCCTTTCTTTTTAACAATATTTAAACCTTTGTTGGTTTGGTAAAATATGGGGATAGCATGTTGTAAGGTTATGTTAACTTTAAAAGGAATCTTATAAACTACATGTAGTGACGAATTGTATTTTTTTTTCCTGTGGCCTCTATCAGGTTTGCTCAGCTTTCTTTGAGCTGATTTCTGCCTTTTGCCAGCACTTGCCTGAGGTGGTAAAAGCTGAAGCACCAAGAGTTTGTCCTGCTGTTCTTCTCAGCATTGATCACAGTGATGCAGTGGTGTGTCCTGCWCTTTGGGAAGCAGTGCTTTATACTGTCACCACTATTGAGGTAATGTGGGAAGCCTAAGGGGAAGGTATTTTCCTCAAATTTGACTTTTCACCAAGTGTTGTTGTTCTCAGTGTAGAATTAGGAAGACAGGCTTTACTGCGTTTTCTTTATGATTAATCACACCAACTCCTCAAGGCTACATCCTCCTTCTTTTGATGTAATTTTAAAATATACCATGCCCGGTATATCTGGAAATTAGAGTAATTTTTTGAATTAAATGGAATTGAATTGAACCAAAACCCGTTCATTAAATGTAGTTACTAATAAATCAAATAATGCATAAAACCTTTTTCTTTGTTAAAGGCAGTTACAAAAATAAGCTGCASTGCATTTTTGGTTTGTTTGTTTCCCCTTCAAATGTAAGGGTTCCATAGCTTTTTTTTTTGGTTTTTTTTCYGTGAATTTTAAGTKAAACACCTACTTTGAATTTATTAGCAGGATAAGGTCTTGCCATAGGAATTTATTAGCAGGATGGAGGTGTTGCCAAAGACTGGGATGCTTTGAGGGTTTRATGCTGCAGATGTCTTTTGTAACTGCTGGAATGAACTGTAACAAGTTTTTGTGGAAAAATCCCCTGGACAAACCTGGTTCAGCTTGTTCGAAATACAGGAACTATAATAAATGTTACAATAAATATAATCAGATTACAAAAAATAYTGAGGAGAGGAAAGTGCCRAAGCATTTTGTAATCATCAGAAAATTTTTGAAGAGAGTTGTGAAGTTAGTGATACTTCTAAAACCAGTCATTGGTTGKTTGTCATAATGAGAACTTAAATACAGGGCTAAGTACAGTAGTGATTTCTATGAAGCATTGAATAAGGAAAGCATTATTAAAGAGAAACCTTTAATTGCAGTTGGCTAGCAAGTAAGGTCAGTTGATTTTGAACAGCGCAGAAATAGTTTTATTATGTTAACTGCTTAAATTCACAAGCTGAAATAGGGAGAAAGTGATTTTAAAGAATACTGGCAAATGAGTAACTTAACAGAATTTAAATTCCACAATAACTTGTTTCAGCTGTGATGCAGGGAGTTATGTTAAATGGCTAGCTTGGGAGTTCTTCTGAGGCAACATATTCTTTCTAATTTACAGTGAGTGAATTTCTTTCTGTAGGACTGTTGGAATCAYGTAAATGCCAGGAAGGGAGTTCTGCCAAAGCTCTGGACAGTGCTTCGAGAAGGTGGGCGAGGATTAGCTACTGTTATCTACCCAAACCTCCTGCCCTTCTTTAGCAAGGTGCCTGCTGGCGTTGTGGAACCGAAGCTGGAATTCCTTAGAGTTTTTTTCAGCTCTATAATTCAAGGGTATGGACCACAAATTTATTTATTTGGAATTAGTCTGTTTTGCATTTTGAAATAAGGAAACTAAGCATTTAAAGATGAATGAAAATCGTATTTTAAAAATTCAATGTCCAAAACAAGAGTCAGTCCTTTGTGGCTGTTCCTGTCATCTTAAACCTTCAGCTTGCTTTTTGATTTTATTGCATCCTCCTTACATGAAGTATTCTTATCTTTCCTTGTCAAAGCTCTGTGTTTATTCCAAGACAAGTTTGAGTAGGGAAAGTTAATTCTTAAGAATCAGGCTCTTCTCAYCAGTGTGTAATTCTTTCAGAGTTTTTTGTGCATGAGCCTTGTGATAGTGGAATCTCCTGTATGCAGGAACTGGATCGGTGGGGGGGAAAGGAGGGAACGTCGTGGGCACAGTTCAAACCACGACACACCTATAAATGATTCTTTGATCCTGTATTCTCATACTGGTGTTTACTGGATCAGAACAACATAACTGAGGGTACATTGATGACATTCATAGTGGGTTTTGTGGAAGCACAGCTGACTGTGTGTCCTCTCACAGGTTGTCAAATGAGAGGACAATAGCCAGCCCTTCGGAAAGTTCAGCAATTATAACTGCATTTATGGAGTGTCTGTGCTTTGCTGTACTGCAGAAAAGTGAAGAAGACCAAAACMAAATTCATGAAATGCTTATATGTGACCAGGTATTTATCAGAAATAATGAATATCATTGTGTGTACATTTAATAATTCAAAATTATAGAAAAACGTGAATTTTAGGTGAGGATTTACTTCTCTCTTGAGAGTTTCCCTAGATTTTAGGAAAAAKCCCACACTGGATTGTCAAGGTTGGAAGAGACCTTYRAGATCATCCAGTCTCACCTTCAGYGCTGCACCACCMAAATYGTCCCCAAACCATGTCYCCAAGTGCCTCATCCAGGTTYCTCTTGAGCACTCCCAGAGGTGGTGACTCCACCACCTCCCTGGGCAACTTATTCCAGTGCCTGACCACTCTTTCTGTGATGTTTTTTTCTAAAACCTAATCTGAATTTCCTCTGGTCCAATATTGGGCCATTCCTTCTCATGCTTTCCCTTGAGACATGGCAGAAGAGACACACTCCTGCCTCCATTCAGGCAGTTGTGCAGAGCAATGTGTAACTAAAGTAGTGGTACTGAATTTAGTATTTTTTTTTCTTCCTATGAAGTCATCCTTTTTACTGTGCAATTTAAATTATATTTAAGGGGGAAAAAAGTGACTCCCATCCTGTATATTTTTATTAAGTGTTCAAACATGAGTAATTTTCTTGCAGATTTGTTTCTGGAATGTTTTTCAGAATGATATAATTTTTTGGCTTTATAAAGACTAAAGTTTTTTTAATTGGACGGTTGTTCTTTAATGTTTCTTTTTTCTTGTCTTTATAGCTAATTCCTTTTATCAATACTGTGCTTAAGGAGCCTAAGTTACAAAGTGGACCATTATTTTATCAAATAGCAGAAATGCTGAATTCTTGGGAAGCTAAAGCAGAGTGCTCCAGTCATGACGGCACAGATGAAGTTTTCCAGAAACTCTTGTCAGAATTTTGGGACCATCTTTTAAAAATGTGTATACTTCATGTTGATAGGTTGGATGCTGATGAGAAATCACTGTTTGCCATATCTGGTATGCTAGAAATTCTTCAGAATCCAAAGACAGCTACAAAACCAAACAACAGAAAATCTCTAAAAATCAGATTTGCAGATGAGGATGAATCTGAAAGGAACACAGAGAATCAAAAGCTCATGGAAGTGAGAACTGGTGACTCTGAAATTCAGGCTCACTTGCAGCAAACTTCACATCTAAGGAAAGARCCTCTAGAGAACTTGGTCTGCAACCTTGCTGAGCTGAGCATTGTCTATGTCAATGAACAGAAGTCAGAACAGCATTTGAAATTCCTCTCTGCCCTGCTCAACTCATTTTCCTCAAACAGAGTTTTCCAAGTACTTTTGGAGCAGGGAAATGATGAAAGTTCTGCTCAAGCTGAATCCCAAAATGAAATGAAAGCTCATAACCAAAGTCCATCTGTACARTTTCTGTATATGAATTTAATAACTTGGCTGAAAGAAGACTGGAGGAAAGACACCCATTTCYTGGTTGATATTTTATACAGTGTACTTCATTGTTGCAACAGTAATGATGAAAGAAAAGTAATTCTTGATGATTTAGCAAAGGTATGAGTTGTCCATTATGTTGTTAATTTTTATCAGTCATTACTGTTTCTATGGGCTGTGTCATTAATAATCTTACTTTGGTACTGTCAAGAACAAGATACTCTGCATTAGTTTGGGTAAGATCAGCATAAGGAAGGTAGTTTTAGGAAAGCTTGACATGATAGTGTTGGGGTGAAAAGTTCTGTCCCTTTATATATAGTATAATTCATTTTAAAAAAAATAACATCAGAATTTCTCTGCTCTTGCTTCTTTATACAGTCTACTTTTATAGTAGTCATTGGTAGCCTTTCTTATAAATATAGTCTTTATTGATTTGTGTGCTAGAGAAAGATTTGGAAGACAAAAATGATAAAATCAATAACTTTGATAGTGAATTTTATCATCTTCTACATATCCCCTGCATAACAGATAAAATCGTGTTATTGCTTTCTAGTCAGCAAATATTTTGTTAAATATTAGGGAATTTTTTTTTTTTGTTTTCAGATGGATCTGAAATGGATTATTTTTCTCCAGATAATTCAAAAGGTATCTATTAAGATTTTTTTTTTGTTCTTGTTATGCATACTTTTAAATACTGTGCTGATATTAACTTTGAGACTCACATATAATTTCCATAGTTTGAAAATCTTAGAATAATAGTTTCAGAGTAGTGTTTGTTTTAAATACATTTAAATTCAGAGACAATTTTAAAACTGAAATGATGATGCCAAAACAAAATAATCCTTGTTCCTTCTATTTTTGGTCAGTTTGCATTTTGAGCCAGTGGGATTCCTGATTTGTTGATCATCCCTTTGGAGCTAGAGAGGATGGAGCTGGGGATTAGACCAGTAATTTAAATGATTATTTATATCATCATCCTTTCAAGGTGCTTACCTTGAAAGAAAGGGTAGTATTCCATTTTTTCACACTGAATTTTGAGAAACTGACGTTTAAGTGATTGTGTGGGATGAAATAGGAAGTGTATGACAAATTTTTTGACAAGACCTCATAGCACTTGACTTACAATCCAGTGCATAGATCACAGGATCTTGCCTCACGTATGCTGTGTATTTTAGGAATACTCAGTTTTTATGAATTTGTAACTTTTATCACCAAAACAATGTTTTTATTTGTGACCCTCCATTTCTTCTTGAAGAAATTTAGGTGCTATAAACAGATTTTATTTCAGCCAACTTGGTCATCCAAAAGTTATTTTTCTGATTCCAGTGTAGGAATTCCCTGGGCTCTATATTTGGAAGAGAAAGGTAAAGGAAGCATTTTCAGGAGGTGACGTGTTTCACTCTACAGTGGAGAACTGACCCAGCCATAAGCTGCTGTCTCTGACAAAAAGAAAGTTGGGTGTGTTGTTTCAGACGTAAACAACTAAAGATTATTTGTGGCAGGTGATATAATTCTCGGTCCGTGTGTGCAAGTTTGACATTAATCTTTTGCTTAGTAGTAAAAGTTAAAATTAATATCAGGCTGTCCAGAGAAGCTGTGGCTGCCCCATCCCTRGAAGTGTTCAAGGCTAGGTTGGATGGGGCTTGGAGAAACGTGGTCTAGTGGAAGGTGTCCCTGCCCATGGCAGGGTAGTTGGTACTTAAATTGGAACTTGGAAGATGACCTTAATAGTATCTTCCAATGTTAATCATTCTATGATAATATACCCTGAAAAGATTCTTGTAATATTTTTGTCGTGATCCAGGCATGCTCAAGCACAGCAAAACTTTCCTTAATCTCTGACTGGCTGAAGGGAGACACGCTTGGAGAAAGACTGGTGATGCTGGCAGATGATCTGTGTCACCTGGGTTTGAAGCCTAGAGCAGCCTCATCAGAATCAGCCTCTTCAGAAAGGTGGACCCTCCTGAGCTTGGTGTTGTCGCAGCATGTTAAAAATGGTGAGCATTCCTCACCATTCCAGTGCTCCTTGGAGTTCGTGAAGTGCGCATGCTACACTTACGCTTTGCGTAAGGTTGAAAGGAATTTGGCATCTTCCAGAACACTTCATGCAGAGCATTTAGGCTTTCTTCTCATAGATTTTTGTTGATAGTTGTTTTTTGTTGGAGCTTTTGTTTCTTTGTTTTGGTCTTTTTTTTTATATTTGAGCCAATTTACTACATCGAGTTTGATTTTGTAAACACAAAGTTGCACCAGCAACTGCCATTTTTTTGGTCCACATTGATAAATAAAGGCAGTGTTTAAAGAGAAGATTCAGATTTACAAGTTTGGAAAATTTGAGGAAAATTTAAGTGAGCTTGATGTATTAGCTGATGTTCTGTAAAATAATTCAAATTTTTAAACCACACCTTCTGAAATTTACCTTAAAAACTAGAATACCAACTCAGTGGTTATGAACCCATGTATGTTTTAGTAATGCCTCGTTACAGGACCTCTAAACTGTTTTGAGCCATTTCCGTTTAGTTTCATGTCTTTAAAAAACTGCATGTATGCTCTTAAGCTGTATATGTAATCTGGGTTTTTTTTTTGTTTGTTTTTTTTATTAACAGCATCCTATTTAATTTATTTCTTGAATTTTTATTATCTAATATTGGCTTCCAGGGCAGTTCAACTTTCTTCATGTTTTCCATGTAAACTCAGCATTTGCTTTGATCCCTGAGGTGACATATTTCAGTGTCATTGGATGCTGTGCACCTTTGTGGTGCTTTCAAGTTTCAGAGATGCACACAGGCAGCTCACTGTAGTGGATGTTCTTAAATGGGGCACCCTGAATGTTTCCTAAGAATGTTTTTTCTGTTATTGGCACTTTTGATGTAAAGCATTAGGAAAACCTGTTTCCTCTCTCCACAGAAAGTTCAGCAAATGTGCTCGTGATCTAGGGCTGATTGTTCAGTGACTTTGCTTTTTGGCTCTAGAGCTGAAGGCACTCTGCACTCATTTTCTGCTGGGTGCGGGGTGAGCTGTTTTTAATCCATTTTGGATGAAGCCTAAGAGATTTTCAGGAGCTATGGTGGTTCTTGATTTAGTGATTTAGGCCAAAATAGATTATGTGAACTTTCAAAAAGATTTTTTTAATGAGACCCTATGTTTCTCAGGGTAAATTGTCATGGAGGAAATGGAAGAACCTTTCATGAATCGGTAGCCTATGATGATAGGAATTAAAGAAGAAAAAATAAAAATACTGAAAAAAAGATAATGGTTTCTGATAAATTATTCATTCATAGTAATCAGAACTGAAACTTCACAGACTCATAGGAGTGTGTTGCGAATGCTGAATGCTTAACTGATACAAAAGATAGCAAAGAATCCAAAGCCAGTTAGGGGTGGGTTTGTGCCAAAGAGCCATAAAATTATAATTTGTATAGGAAAAGCAAATAGGAAGAAATTTTTCATTGCTTCTTTCAACGGAAGAACCTGAGTTGCTAACAGATGTTTAGATAGCAGTCTTGAGAGAAAAGTACACTTTTTCATGCAGATTATAATTAAATAAGAAAACTCATTGTCACAGGATACTATGGAGTTTGAGGCTAAATGAAATTGACCTGCTTGAATCCTGTAAAAAAGGAACTAAGCATGTTCATGGAAGATTGATCTGCTTGGGTTAATTACATGCAATGGTCTGGTGTAAATTTGGGCTTGCAGTTTTGGGTTGCCAGAAGTTAGGAAGGCATGAAAGGTCTGCATCTGCACTTATTTATATACATTTCTCAAAGCTGCTTCAGCTGGTTTAGAGGAAGGGTACTTGGCAGTGTGAAACTTCAGCTGGTGTCTGTGAAATAAGAAAGTTTAGGTATCCATTAGACTGAAACTGTTTTGCATGTCATTTTGCATTCAAAATTAGTAAATATTGAACAAATTGGTCAATATTAATATGATGTCTTTGCATGATCATGTTTGTCAAGTAATCAAAGCATACTGTCTTTTTCCTCTGCCCAACAGAATCCTTGATTGGTGAAACTTTTGTTGAAAGGATTATTGATAAACTTCAGGCAGCCCTGTCTAAAGCAAAGGATCTTTCTGAAGCTGGAAATACTGAACCATCAGTATCTTTCATCTGTGATGTGGCCTCGAGCTTTTTCAGCTCAGTGAAAGGGTGTTTACTGATGCCATCCTCAGAAGACCTGCTCCTTACCATCTTCCAGCTGTGTGCTCAGAGGCAGGATGCAACACACCTGACAGGTAATCTGGAAAAAGAACTTCAACCAAGCTTTTTCATACGTGATGATTATATSTGAAAACTTCCTTTCCRTGAAACAGATTCARGTGTGTGATASAGYTCACATACATTGAACACTTGCAGCTGTAGCTGATATGAAAATTTGTGCTTTAATTTACAGTGCCTGTAGTTACTACTAAGCATCAAGTCCTATACATCTTTACAAGGATTTTGAAGCTTTTTTGATGTTAGTATCAGMTAACTTTGAGGCTGTGGTATTACACAGTTTTTGGAGTGTTACCAAAGTTATTTAAAGTCTATGGAATATATCAAATGAACATTTTTTTTTTCATTTTGCAATCTGGGAAGTCTACGAAGAAGTATGTGCAATCACTTCATTACAGATACATGTATTTATTCTGAAACCAGTTATACTGGCTATGTTGTCTAGACAAATTGTGTATCCATACCTGTCTCTACCAGTGTCTCATGTTCAGACTGAGATTCTGATTTATATTCTTTGAATGCATAATTTGAGAGTGATAAATTGGAACATGTGTTTACTGACATCAATAGAAATAAATACCATGCTTCAGTGTTGTCATAGAGGTGAAGTAGGACAGGACTAGCTTGGAAACCACTGCTGCTTTACAAATGACCATTGATGTTGCGATATTCAGTATTTTGGTAGAAAGGTCTGTGGTTTTGAAGACTGTGTGGACATATGGTTGCAGAAAACAGGAACATCACTCATTCTCCGTTAAATCTTACTCTGTGTGTCAGAGTTAATTTTAAATTGCTCTGCAATGAGAGTATGTGTTCTTGATAGTTTTTGCATGTAACCACATAGAAAAGAGATTTGCTTTCCTACTCTAGGACTTTTAGACATGTGATAGTTGCTGTATGCTGTAGGTTGTAATTAGAGTTTACCTGTTTATGATGGTTTTGCTTTGTCCATCTGTTGTTCTTTTGTTTTCTTTTTTCTTTTCCCTATAATAGATTTACTCATATGCAAATTAAAACACACTTGGGTGTCTGGTGTAAATTCGCTTGTACATCAGCTTCAGAGCACTCAGAAGCAGAGCACCTTTTTGCTTAAAGCTGCACTGTGGGTGAAGAACCAAGTTCAGTCTTCCTCTTTGGATGTTAAAAGGTAATTGGGATATGATGTGTCTGTTCCATAATAGGTTGCTTTCCAAAAGAAACCAGGATCAGTGCTGTACTAGTCTTTATTTAATTGACATCTGTATTACTGACTTTTCGGCCTGTTGGAGGCTGTGGGTAAAGTAGAACTTAAACCACCTCTGGTACAGCGTGCATGGAGCATTGTATCAATGGAAAATATGCAGGTGGCTCTTAATGGACAGTGCCAAACTTGTTTGCAGTGTTTTTGCCTTTTCTCAGTCTTCAGGTTTTGATCTCTGCAGTCAGTGATTTGTTGTTGACACTCATGGAAGCTGAAGGACAGTCTGGGTATCTTGTGAGAACTTATGTGGAGCATGTCACACCAAACAAAACTGAGTGGGGGAAATTGCACGAGTCTCTGTGCTCTGAGGTATGGAAATGATAATGGATTGCACAGGGTGGTCAATCTTTCCTCAAGCCTCTGTCCCCTAGGGTGGTAAACATTCTTTTGACATGGCACTGCACTTATGAATACCATATGTTTGTGAAGAGGTTTTTTCAGCCTCTGTCCATGAAGAGGATGAAACCTCTATGTTTATGGACCCATCCAGTACTAGTGGAAAAAATCAAAATCCCTGAAATTACCATTTTCTTCATGGAACACAGCAACTAGCTTTGCACTTCAGGAATTTTACCTGACAGTATATATTGTGAAGATGTTCTTATGTCTAAGTGAATTCTTCAAAAAGATTAATGTTGTGAAAGACACCAATATCTGCAGAGGAACATGATGTGCTGACTATCAACAAAATGCTGGTGTACACAGAATAGAGAGTGGCAAAGAACATAAATTAATTTCCTTTCCAGCCACTAATCTTCAGAAACCCCAGAATTTCTTGTAAAATACATGGGGTTCTAAAGAAATATATTTGTTTCCAGCAATACAGTTCCAAATTATGCTGTGCAATTAGTTTTTTCATGTACTGGAGTGGGTTATCCTCACCATTGTGCTTTTGATGTCAGTGTGTGATTTTTGTTCTTAATAATTCTGAGTTTTCAGGGTTAAACATCATAACTCTTCTATGCATCATTGAAATGCTCATTATTTGCTCATACTCTTTTTATGTGTGTATTACAGTGGATGCACAAGCCCCTTTTGGAAGGAAGGCTTAGTATGAATTGTGAACCTCTGGGATCAAGTGTCAAGCTGTGTGGCACAACTAAACTTCCAGGCCATCTGTGTACTTCAGCTGCATTAAGTAAAATGATACTACTTGAACTGGAAAATAGTGTAGTCCATGGAAATGATGATGTTGAAAGAAAGAAAATTGATAATATAAGTAAGTTACAATGGTAAAATTTAATAGAATTTCATTTTATAGTGGTTGTAACCTGCACTGAGCGTTAGAAATGCATAGTTAAAATTTGGCATACAGGTAGGAGAAATTATCCTTGAATCTTTTGTTGCTGTTTTTTCTTTTTGTTCAGGTCTCCTTTAAAAGTGTGCACAAGTGTAATGTTTGTATTCCTGGGAATATAAATTTCCTCTTTTGCTTATATATGTCCTATCTCAACAGAACTTTGAATTGGGAAAAGTGTGATTTTTCAGTGAACTTCAAATTTATTTATTGCCAAAACACACAGTGCATTGGCATGAGTGGGCAATAAGAACTGTATCCCTGCCTTGAATGTTCAGCCATAGTGTAAAGATAGTTTGAGACAACCATTTTTCTTAATTTGACGAGGTAGAATCTGGTTTTTTTTTTTTTTTTTTTTTTTAGAATGCTCAAATTAAATGCAGCATTTCCAAATTACCAAAATCTATCTCCAAAAGTTTCACCATGATGAGAAGTGTAATTGTTTAGTTGCATCTTTGTAAGCTAATGAAGGAAGGACATGCTAGCTCTTGTCACCAAATTTGCTTGGTTTTCTTCTGGACTTAAATATTGATTGCCTTATCTGCAAAAAAAAGGGGGAGAACAGAGAGGAGTCATGTCATGCTTTATTTGCTTTAAAATTGGCTATCTAGAATAGATTACTGTAGTGGTTTTTTTCTTGTATGTTATCATACAATGTCAAATTCCCAGTTCATGGTCGGAAGCACCTGAGACTGTGTGTAAAAATAATACCTTTAATGTATTAAAAACATACAAAAAAACCCTAACATAGCTTGACCTGAAATTTCTTGCTTTTGCATTGGATATTTTCAGCAGACACTTTTAAATAACAGCTTTTGGTTCATTAGTTGCAGAACTGTTRTACTCATTACAATGGATTGAAGAAYTKGASAATCCTCCTTRTCTGCTTCTGGAATATCTTCATATGTTGGAAGAGATGCACATCACATATGAGAAGTTCAGTACTCTGAGTAGTACAGCTAGCCTGCAGCAAACTTTATTTGACAGGTATGTGTGAACAAGTGAAACAGCTCTTAGCTCTGTCTTCACAGTTTGTATTGTATAAAGTACCACTATTTTCATCTGTGTATTGATTCAAAATGCATCCAAAGTGCTTTTGTAGTGAGCCCTGAGCACCTGTATATATTAACCAGGGTCTCTCTTCTTCTTTGAAGATCAGAGGAACATGGAAGACTCTGGTCCTTAACCATGGCCAAAGTGATCCGTGCTGAGAGTGCTGTATCCTGGGAAAGGAAAGAGCTTTTCAAGACAACAGAAGGGTATCTTAATATTGCTGCCTATAAACTTGCAGTTTGTTGTGAATGTTGAYAGTGTGAAATGATCTTCATTCTGMCMAATGRCAACTGAAAGCTGAAAATGAAGTGATACTCGTGTATGGCATGTAAAAGTTGAACTTGGTTTAGCATGAGGGATTAGTTGTGTCAGAGGATATGACATCGTTATGAACCAACTGATATTTTGTTTACAAGTTGAGTTTTTGTGTTCATTTCATTCTTGATGTTTTGCTTCTATGAATAGGTTCCTTCCATTAACAGAGGGCAGATTGCATACACTCCAGTGTTTATCACCTGTCTTAATTGAGGAAGAAAAGAGAGAACTTGTCTTCCATTGTGTGGCCAAACTTATGACATGCACACAGACCGAGCTTTCCAGCACTGATGGTGAGTATGTTCTTACCTCAGTCTAGTTCATTAGAATGTAAGAACATTATTTTGTAATAATGTTTGCTTTCAGATAAAACATATTCACTGTAATATTGCTTTTCCTAGAAAGAAATGTTTTCTTAGTTTGCCTGTTTCTTCTAGACTGTTTGGCATAGTAGTTTTCTGCCTCTTTCAGAAAGTACAAACTCTACTGCGAGGTACAAAATTAGAACTAAAAGATTTAGGCTGATATTATTAAAAAAAATTTTGATGTTGCTGCACTTCTAGTTGGATCTGTCTTATATAAGCACATCCATAAATATAAAAGTTTTCAGTGCACCATTTAGGCTTTATAGAGTACACAAAAATATTACTGTTGTTAGCTGGCGATAATTGTCTTTAGATGCTTTGCCAAGAACTCTTTCACAATTTGTATATAATTTTTGAGTAGCTCCTCCAATGCCAACTCAAAACTCCACGATGTTAACTGTCTGCAGCTGTGGAAGATTACTTAAGAGGTGATTAAGATGTGTTATAATATTGCTTTGAATATAACTTCTTAATTTGGGTCTCTATTTTCACAAGCTTGATGCTTTTCAAGAAAATTGTTTGAAAATGCTCACTCTTAGTCCTTCTACCTGTATTACTTAGATTTCATTTAAGAGGAAAAGTCCTTTCTGGTTTTGTCCCTTACTGCATTTGTGCGTTCTTGCACACACTCACTGATCAGTCTATATAAAAATTGAAATGTAGGTTTTGTATTTTTTAACAAAACTGTGCTGACTTAAATTGAAAAAAACCTTATCTTTGGTCACTTTAACTGTGGACATCGGTCCCTTGGCAGTGTTTTCAGGATTTCAGATGAGCTCTTCAAGTGGATGTTCTTCAGGTGTGGAAATTGTCAGTGTTAGTGTCATACAGCAATTGAGAGGAATCTTAAGAATCTTTCTACTGTGGTAGTTTCCTACTCTTTCAATTTAGTTGAGCCTTCCTGGCTTTCTCAGAGAACCAGTGAGGCAAACAAATGTGTCTGTGAGACTTTAAACAGAAGACAATGGAAGTATCCTCACTCCTCCCCCGCTGTGGAGGGTTTTTATTTGTAATCAGCATTTCCTTTCTACTAATTATCAGTTTTCTAGGAATTCCTGAGCAGAACATATATATTCAAATTCACATTAAGTGGGACACAGGTTATAGGCTTATCACTCCAATGGTCTCTTTCTTTTCCGATTGAGAAAATGGTGCTAAAGTTGTCTTAAGTGAAGCAGGAGTTGGTTTGGTTGGTTTGCTATGCTGTGTAATACTTTACGTTATTTCTTTGTCCTGGTGCTTGTAGGAAATGTTCCCTTTCTCCAAGAAAGCTAGATGAATGTAGTTCTTAAAAATGGAAAACAGTATTAATGCAACAATAATACTTCACTATGGAAATAAAAAATAACATTCCAACTAGAACTCCAATTAACATTCCAAAAATATTAGAATTCACAACTTTCCAATTGCAATGCCTTAGTTACCTGTCCAAATTACTACTTAGCATACTATATTTTTAGTAGCACAAAGATTTCAATCTTAGCTGGTATTTTTCCTTTTTGCTAATTTTATCAATTATCAATCTTAGAGGAGGTGCATTTTTTAAAAGATGTTTGTGTTGGATATAATATTTTTATTGAACAATGACATCTGTGGATTAAGTGTTAAAAGAAGAAAGCTTAGGTGTTAGCCAAACAGTCTTATGAGATTGAAGTTAAATTCTATTGACGCACATTCTAGTATTTGCTTTGTCTTGATAGTTAAGGCTATTGAGTATATTTTTCATTGTGTTATAGGAGCATTTGGGTGTCTTTCCATTTTGAACTCCTGCCTGAAGGACAGGAGTATTGATTGTGATCATCTATTACCTGCAATACTGAAAATCATAATATCTTGGAAAAACGATAATGAGGACAGCTTTCTCTTTAGCTGGTGGGTGCAACTTTGAGATGTTTTGACTTTTTTTTTTAATTTCTAAAACAAGAGTTTAAAAAAACAGACTAGTTATTAGTTCAAATAAAATCAATCTGTACAGCTGCTATCTACTGTTCTAATATTACGTATTTAAGCTTTTGTAGAACACTTGGTCTAATATATCTTTAATAACTCATACTGCGGAAAATTACCTGGATGATTGAAGACTGGGAAACTAATGAGCTTTTAGAATGCTTTTGAAAGATGTCAGATGTTTTGAAATGAATTCAGAACTGACCAACTTTTATAGGTATTGCTGGAATTCAGTTCCAAGTTCTGTTGCTTATTTTGACAGCAGGAGGAAACTTGCATACCAGACTTAGGCATCTGTCTTTTAAAATTCTGGTCCCAAAAAATTGGAAAGCTTACAACAAGGAGTACACTGAGATTTATTTGTCTTTGCT